ACATTTTATCGCATCATAGACAGTTGTTTTACCACATTGTACAATGTCAGCAATTTTTTGATATGAATCACCTTGTTTGTGGTCATAAAAAATTGCCCTATATTGTTCAGCATTCAATTCTTTTGTTTAAACATTTTTGTTTGAAAGAAAATTATTTGTTATTATTGTGATCGATATCCATTTATATTCTAAACAAATGCTTAAATTAGAAATATATGTAAACATGTAAACAAAGTGAATAAACAAAAAAATACTTATCATTTGGGTACCTGTAATCACCCTCTGTATATAATTAGTTACTGTTATGCGAAAATGATAGCATCACAACAGATATAGCATATTCACTAAAATATATATATGCCAAAAAACTTAAAAATACATAATATCATATTCACATATTTGTTATAATTATTATTTTTTTACCTACCCGTTTTGCCAGTTTTTTTTCAATGCCAAAATTTTGAAGCTTCTTTCTTCGTTTAATATCTTCTGAGAGGACTTGTTCTAAAATTCTTTTCAGAATATTTTCTAAGTTTTTTACCTTCTTTTTGAGAATACCTGTCTATTTACCTTACTCTACTCATACGAACAATACTGTGAAAATCCTAATGATGCTGAGAGGCTCTCTTATTAAAAGAAATTCTTTCATATTTTAATAGAGTGAAAGTTAAATGTTAGTGAAAGCTCTGCTAAGCGAAGTAAAAAATAATATAAAGGCATAATAATTTCACTATACTGTCTTTTTAAATGACTCCATTTACTTCTCTCTAGACTTGCAAGAATATGCAAGATACTTTATGCTAAAATTTTATGTTTAAAAATAAGGGCATGCGAAATGTGCATTAAAAATCTTAACATTACATTATATTTACTTTAATGAAGATCGAAGACATACTAATTTATATCGCATATGTCTACATGTATTGATCTTAAGGCCTTTCGCATAGCTGAACAATATATTATTTTATTAATATAATATTTAGAAACTGGGTCAAGGTCTTATCTGGAAAATTCAACACACAAATTCACAATTATCATCTAAGTCTGTAAAATTCATGGTAACATCCTTTTTATAGGAATTTTAATGATAATGAGTTGCATATTCTTTTTATTCTACTGATTTACTCCTATATTTTTTATAATCTAAAATTCTGATGATGTTTTTGAAGTTATATCCAATAAGATAAAATTCAGGATTCTGTAACTATTTTAATATTTTATACTAAGCTGTATCTTTAATAACTATATAGCCTTGCTGATATAATATTCTAAAAGTAGCTAGGTATTCTACAGTACATAATTATCTATATAACTGATTTTTCTTCGCTTCTGCCCAAATAGTAGCAGAATAAATATTATATCTATTTTCTACATAAAATTGATCACTCACATAATTAGATTTTATTAGTTTTTCATTAATGAAATGATATGTTTTATTACAAGAAATAATATCTAAAAACTTCTTATTATCAGGAGTACCATCATTATTTACTACTTCTCAAACCCATTTTACTAAAGATTCAGGTCTTTTCTTATAATTCTTATAAGCTTGCTGGATAACTGTTGCATAGAAATTTTCAAAGCTATAATTATAATAGTATTTAGAAATCAAGAATCCTCAAGATCACTTCATTGATCTTCTTAAAAAAAATTTTGTTATATAGTATATTAGAGGATCTAACCCAGAATAGGCAAATCAGATTTTTTATCTCGCAGGTGATACATTTCACAATTATACTAGATGATCATGCATGCAAATTATATAGCGCAAAATAAAACATAAGTTATAAATATAGTTGAGATATTATTTAGTCAAAAGTAATAATCTATAATTAAAACAGTGCTTAGAATTGGTCAGTCAAAACAGTTAAACAATCATGATTTCTACTCTATCTCTCAATCTTATTGTGATACCTTTTGGCTGATTAAGATGTTTTATAAATAATAATAGGTTATTTTGTTTCGTATATAGAGATAAGATAAATAGTATACAGTCGTCCCCTTCTATAATCACACCCTTCAGGACCATCAAATGGTGTGATTATAAAGAGAAGTGCTTATAATGAGGTTTTTATTATATAGTCACATCTATATAAAATTTTGATTTAATGTGATTATAAAAATTTTTTTTTTATTGTCCAATATAAAAATCATATTTTTTAAAAAAAAAACTTTGATCACCTATTTCAAATTTTAATTTATATCAATGCATACATGAAAAAATATAAAATTAAATGTGCATATATATATTCCTTTATTTTGATTAGATTACTAAAATAAATAAATATTATTATCTCTCAAAAAAATTATCAAGTATAGTTTGCTATTTTGAATTAAACACTTTAGTTTTAATAATTCGTAAGTATTTTCTAAAAATATGCAAATCATCAATACTAAATGCCAGATCATTTTGCTGTTCAAAATAATTAATAATTGTTTTAAATGCATCAATTCCTTTATTGTCCGATACTATTATTGCTTCTTCATCTGAATCACTCTCATTTTCACTTTCATTTTCTTCGTCTTGTAATAGATTAATAATTTGTTCATTGGTAAGACATTCTTTAGTTGGAATATCATGATCAAGCAACTGAAGATAATTTTGTAAATCATCTACTTCTGATAAAAAATCAATATTAATTTCATCTGATTCATTCATCTCATCATCTAATTCAAAATCTTGTATATTAATATCATCTCTACTATCATCAGAAAATGGTAATATGCCTGTTTTAATCCAACAGTTTTGAATAATTGGTTGTATAATGTTCTCCCATACCTCAGCAATATAATTGATTGCCTCTTTAATATTTAATTTATTCCTAAATAAAAATTATTGTTTAAATTATTAAATTAATAATAAATTTATAAATTAAATAAAATACTATAAAAATTTATTAAACTTACATTTCCCAATTTATTCCATTATCAAATAGGCAAATTATATAATTACAAAACTCTCTTTTATACCTGACTTTAAAACTGTGAATAATACCCGCGTCTATGAGTTGTAAATGAGCCGTAGTGTTTGGTGAAAGATAAACGATCTCAATATTAGTAAGTCTAATATTCAGTTTCTTTTTTTTTTAATATTTTTTCTATTTTGAGCTGAATGCGATAATTCTGCAATTACTTCATCATCATCAAAGTCATTCTTACTTAAATTAGAATTGGTTTCTTCTAATGCTTTGGATTAAAGTGAAATCCTGCATTATCAATTAAAAGTAATATTTTTTGATCTATTACACGAAAATAGTTATCAAGGTAATTAAGCAATTCAATGAAAATGTCTGATTTCATCCATGCTTTTGAATTAGTACGATAGATTACAGGAAGAGCCGATTTGTTAAAATTTTTAAAGCACCAAGGATTAAGTGATTTTTTAATTACAAGAGGGCGGAGTTTATGAGAACCTGTAGCATTAGCACAAAAAAGAATAGAAAATTAAATAATAATATAAATAAACTTTAAGTTTAAAGTATAAAATAAAAACTGTAAAAAATTTGATAAAAAAAATGTAACAAAAAAAATATAACAAAAAAAATGTAATAAAAAAAATATAACAGAAAAAAATGTAACAAAAAAAAAGAATAAATAAAATATTTACTTTTTTTTGACCAGAAATTTTACTTTTACTAAGTGTTTGATTTTGTTCCATTCGAAAAAAAAGTCCTATTTCATCTGCATTGTAAATATCTTCCTTATTGTATTTAGCTAAAAGAGCGTGTAAATGTAAACGTTCTTCTAAAAGAGTCTCAAGCAGAGCACTATTAGCTTCTTCTGAAAAATTAACTCTTTAAAGACCATTTCGCAACTTGAATCTATATACCCAACTATTAGCACATTTTAACTGCTCTTCAATATTTAATGTTTTAGTAAATTCCAAGCCTTTTTGTTATAATATTAAGTCAGTTAAAGGAATTCTATTGGCTATTGCTTGTGAAGTTCAAATTTGCATAGCTTTGTTAAGTTCTGGAAATTAGACAGAACAATAGCAAAAAATATGTGGAGTTTGTGAAGTAAATAAAACTGCAAGTCATTTTTCATGACTTTTCCATATTTTATTAATGGTAGTTCTATCGATATTTAAATTTTCATGTTTTTTATTAAAAATTGAAGCAACATCACCTTGATTTATATGGGGATTTGCTACGATATATTCACATATTTTTTTTAGTGTCAATACTAATAGTAGTACAAGTTTTCTTCTGTTCTAAATGAATAGGTGGCATTTTAACACAAATAAAGCTGCAAGTACTACGCAAACCATTCAAATATTATGCGATTACGCATATTTCTATGGATTATAAAGTTGTACAAAATTTAATACTATCATATGATTTCTGTGATTGTATAGGAGGTAAAATTCTTACTGTGATTATATAAGGGATAAATTTCATATATTTATTATAATATTGGGCCTTATAAATGGTGTGATTATATTTTATAATATGCCTATGATTATAAAGAGAGTATTTTTATTTAAAAAGATCAGGACTAAATAAAATGTGCTTTAAGGAAGGGAGTGTTTATATTAGGGGTGACTATAGAGGGAGACGACTGTATATTGAAACATCAAAATGAAAAATACGAATTAAAAAAAAAAATAAAAAAATAAAAAATATAAAATAAAATAAATAAATTAAATATTAACAAAAAAATAATGAAAAAAAATGAAAAAAAGAAATCAAATAAAACCAAAAAAAAGGATTATTCGAAGTGATCGATAATCGAAATTGACGAATTTCAAATAAAAACTATACATTGAATGAAAAAACTGCCAATTCTTCTACATTTAAGTAATCAGGAGCATTGAGAGTTGAATTGAATAAATTTCTAAGCTCCTATTTTGCTTTTTTGTCTATTGCTAGATATATATATTTGTTTAAAAGATCACTTCTTATACTGATATTTAGATTATCTCTTAACTCCTCTTTCTCTTTCAATCATGCTAACTCTTCTTCCTTTAACATTTCTTCTCACTCATTTAATTCTTGTTCCTAATGTTCAAAAGTAATAAAAGTATTATCTTCATCAATATCATCAATTTCTTTAACAAGAACTTCAGAATCAGTTTCAATTGGAGAAGCATTTGAATCTAAAATTTTGATTTGATTTTGTTGTAATTCTTTTTCTCTTAATGATGTCACTGGTGATACACCTTTGGCCAATTTCACTGCTAAAGGTGTAAGAATTTATATTCCAAGACGCTTACAGATTGATTTTACAAACCATGAATTAGCCTTATATTTCTCACATTCTGTAACTCTAATGAGATATTCAATGTTATCTTTATCAATACGATAATATTCAGGATTCTGTAGCCACTTTAACTGGTTAGTCCAATCTGAACCTCTAATGATTATATAGCCTCGCTGGTATAATATTTTAAAAATAATATCATATGTTACATTAGCTAATCTCACATATAATTGATTTTTCTTCTCAAATTCCCAGTCAATATAAGGAAATGCAAGAAGTTATACCTAAATACTTCTTATCATTAGGAGTACCATTATTTCTCACCGCCTCCCAAATCTGTTTTACCAAAGATTTAGGTCTCTTCTTATAATTCTTATAAGCTCGCTGGATAACTGTTGCATAGAAATTTTCAAAGCTATAATTATAGTATTTAGGAATCAAGAATCCTCAAGATCGCTTTATTAACCTTCCTAAAATACTTCACTATAATAGCTATATATTATAGGATCTAACCTAGAATAGGCAGATCAGATTTTTCTCTGCGTACGCAGGCATTTCATGCATAGTGTCTTTAGCTAATTATATTAGGTGACCATGTATACAGATTATATAGTGCAAAAATAAAGAATAAGTAATGTTTGGCTAAATGATATTAATCTTCAGTTAAATGAATGTGATTTTTGTACTATCTCTCAATCTTAATGTGGGCTGATAAAGATGGTCTATAGATGGTAATAAGTTATTTTGTTTAGCATACCGAGATGAGATAAATATTTCACTTGTGATCTCTTGCTCTGAGCGCCTTTGGCTAGGATTTGATGATTGATAAGAAGTTGGTAAAATCGTTTCTTGTCTAGTAGGTGAAATATAAGCTGGCTCGAAATTTGAAGCATTTAGCATAGTATCTTTTGCTTTAGATTGTGCATAATTTTCATAGCTAACCGTAAAATTTCCATCAATATCATATGATATTGATGCCAATTTATTCTTTTCTGAATGTGGAGTAGATTGGGATGAAAGCTCTAGCTGAAGACGATTAATTTTAGCCTCTTCTTGTAATATGTATTGTTTATATTGCCAGATCTGAAATTCCCTTCTATCAATAGTTTGGAGAATTTCATTTCTTCTTGCATGTTCATTCGAAATAGTATTTCCAGAAATACATCTTTTCAAGTGGTTATCATGACTGCGATAATTGCTATAAAAAGTTCCAGGTATGAAAACTAAGGAGTCACATACACTATAATATATATAATTTGTTCGATTAATGTGAACTTTATCATTTTCATAAAGCTTTCTATATATTATAATATATCCATTCTTAGAAAGGATTCTTGATTCTCTTTAAGTATTTTTCTAAATGGACTACAGATACGAAAGCACCACATTTCTGGTATTTCGTGATCACATCTTTTTGTTAAAGGCAATATTGCATCAAGTATTCTTATATATTCTTTAAAGCCTCTATAAGTATTGTTTGCATAAATTAGCTTAGAATAGGTTCTACTATCTAAATCCATAATAGTGTTTTAGTAAATTATAACGATTTTATGATATTGTTGATTTATAAGCATTTTTAGCGAATTCTAACAATTCTTTAGCAACTTATACTATAGAATATCATCATTCAAATTTATACGGATTTATATAGGGTCATATATGTGTCATATCTTAGCTAGGCTAATTTTATATTTACATGCGGTTTGGCTGTAAGCGCTATGCATGAATCTCTCGTGATTAATAGGGATTAGTCAGAGGCGTTGCAGTATAACATAAAAATTTGTATCACCCTAGCTCCCAGACAGTTCTCAGCACTTCCTCGCAACCTTCCCGCAACTCAAATCACGAGGATCTACTAATCAGATTTTGCGTAATAACTTAGCCACCATTATTTTTTAATTAATCATTATATTAATCATTACAAAAATTAAAGCGCTGACTGTATACGAAGCTAATTTAATCTTACTCAGTCCCTACTTCACTCAGAGTAAGCTCCAACCATGCCCTATATAAGTGAGTCTTTTTACCTCTTCCTTCCTCATAAACTTAAAAATGTCTACACAGTGAAGCGAAGAACAAATTCGAATGCTTATTGATAAACGTAAAAATAAAAATGAAGAATACCACTGAACTCTAAACCGTAATAAGAGAAACTTTTGGGAAGATATTGCAAATGAAATCAACCGAGCAAATAATACTAATTACTTCACAGGGGAAGATTGTAATAAGAAATTCTTAGCTCTAACTCGAGCATACTATGTAAATAATATGATAATCGAGTAGTTGAGGACGCATTGCTTATACTTACTAACTCTAATCTGATATTTTGATAATATAGACGACCCTGACCTATAAAAAAGCTAAGGCGGAAGCTGAGAGTCTCTTAAGAAACTAACTATCAACTAATAAGGGATCTGAGGCAGAAGCGGGAGGTCCACCAACTACTGTAGTAACTAAAAAGAAGAAGAGAAGTCTTATTGGAGAAAAATATTATGAAGAGTTCTCTACAGAATTTTGGAAAGAACCTGGTATTTGTTTTTCTGATATTTGTATTTTACTTTGGTAAATCCAAGATATTCTCTCTAAAATATTTATTGTTTCTAGGATCACAACATTCTACGATGCTATCAATACTCTTAACACCTGGTTCTCTCGAAACCAGATCTGATACTTCTTCCTCTTTACATAAACAAACCAAATCATCAAGATTTATGACACCTTCTACTGAGACTCCCGTAGTCTCTAGACCTGTTACTCCCACAATCCCTCATTCTCTCAAAATGCGAATGTAATTAATATAACAATTAATTATAGTGGTAAATTTTATATTTCATAGTTTGTAAAGCACACACATGTTTAAAAATTCAAAGTAAAATCTTTATTTGTCATTATGTAATATGGCCGATCTGTTAAGTAAAAAAAAGTGAATAAAAAGTAAAATAATAGATTGAAAGACCGGAGGAATGTAATAATTGAAATAAATGATACTATCAAAGAAGGAGGGAGTTCTCAGATCCTAAGCCATAAATGAAAGTCTCGGCATCAAGTTATTTCACAATATTACCTCTACTGATACTTCCTCTAATGCTACTGCTACTGCTACTGTTGTTACTACTGCTACTATTAGAAAAACTAACTGATTTCTTATTTTTCTACTTTTCAACCCATTCGATGATTTTATCTATAGAAGTTCTTCTTGGTGATTTTTGGTGACGATAAAAACTAGCTAATGTGCTAGCGCTAAGACTGATTTTGATTGATAAAATATTATACATTTGCGTTGGAGAATGACCTTCTCTTTTCCTCCTATTATTAAAAAGGGCTGTAAACTCAACCCAGTATGTTTCATATTCATCTGTATATTCAGAATATTATCTCATAAAAACGTGACTTGTGGAAGAGAATTGATTTGATCCTGCTAGACGAAAGCGCAGTAGGGTGCAGATAAGTATATATGCATGACATTATATTTTTTCTAATGGACGACCTACCTTGAGATGCTATATCATTTCTTCATTCAGCTTCTATACGCATTCTTTGAAGCTTATTACTTAATGTTAAGACGGTTCTTTCAAGATTATTATCTCACGATCCCATTAGATATTTGCGAAAAAAGAAGATAGCAATGGCAAAGATTAAATAAATGCTTATATTTCCTGAAAAAATATCTTGGATCATTTCCATAGTTAGGACACCACAGCTCAACATCTTGTAAAATACAATTGTGATGCCGAAGACTGCGATCAAGAAAATATTTGAGTTTGAGAACATTTTTTAGATAGATAGATAAATAGATTTTGTTTTATTAGTTTTATGTGAAATTGATATTTTTTACTTGTTGGAGGAAAAGAAATACCAAAGCGCTTCTCTAGAAATATCCCTTTTATATGTTTTATAATCGCCTGGCAAAATTAAATACCCATATATACTAGTATAGAGAACTCGCATCAAAATATGGATCTGGAATAATTGTGAAATGTTATCATAATTTTTACTCCTATTTCTGAAAAAGAAAATTATCAAGATCCTGTCTGGTGCTTGTACTTAAAGATGAAAAAAGTTAGTGCATTCCTGTATCCTCATACCCCCTTATTTCTATAACATATTCAAGCAATAAAATAATAATAATATTTTTTCATAAATGCTTGGCCGTGAGGTTTTACACAAGAGTAAAGTTTTTTATTAATAAAAATATAACAAATATTCATTAGGTAGCTTTGCTATTATGTATATACAGAACATGAATAAACTATATTATAAAGTCCTATTCTCTTATTTCATTTTTGACTAAAGAAAGATCAAAGGAAGAACTAAATATCCAACTAGATTTTTTCTTACTTCGATTATATAGGAAGATTGGAGTTCTTCTTTCATTCATAACACAGTTTAGTATAAAAAACCTTCATTATCGTAGGTAAATGCAGATCAAAAACATAAAGTCTATTGGGAGGAAATAGGCAGGTATTTATGAAAATTTTCAGTTGACTATTTTGCCAATAAAATTGTCAGAAGCATTGGCGTAAATTTTACACTCCTTGTACCCTACGATTTGCAAATATGTACAGCTTATCTAATAAAATATACTGCTTATTTAATATGACCCCTTCTTTTCAAGTGAAAAAATTGCGCTAAAAGTAAAATCCAATGAACATGCTAAACTGATATGTTGTAAACTTATATTAACGGAGTAATAGCATATCTACTGTTTATTATTTAGATTAGCTGATATACCCCTATTGCAAAAAAATCGGAATAAAAAACCTATCATGGATCGAGATCTGTAAAAACAGTAGATAATAAATCACTCATGCTGGATTACGTATTGCTAATTCCTATTCAAAAATGAATTAATGTGTTATTACTCATACACGTAATTTGAATGCGTTAACGTCAGTAGGATAATAAAAATATACCATTTATCTGAAGATCTGTAAATCATTGATTCTAATCGGCTCTATTTCCATTTTTGAATTTCTTTTTAACGACGCCTTGTCTTACGATTCGCATGTAAATCAGGATGTGTTATTTTTTTATTAATAATTCAGAATTGCGTAATGAGCGAGAAAGAACATACCAGAATTTCTTTTGGCTTAGCGCTGGGAAAGACCATCAGTATATCAACATAAAAATATTATTCTTGGTCAAGGTTATTAATAGATCCTCTAAAAATAATGACTGCAGATGTGGTGACTACACTACTGCGTATAGAATATTCTACGGATGTAAACCAGTGATGTATTACTGTAGAGAAGAATAAAACTGTACACCTAAGCCACCCACGTGATTCAAAAAAAAGAAATACATAATTTACTTAATGCGGGTAATTGATTCGCCTAATAATTCTTCTAGACGGTTACTGGAGAGATTGTGAGACTCATTACTAACTAAGATACGGGATCATCAAATATCATAGTTCTCATAAACTTTCATGAGTATTTTATCATGTGTTTAGTGACGTAATATATTTTCGTCTGATGTTGGGTATTTACTATAATGCGAAATGACCATAGACGAGAAAAGCTAAATAACCTAAATTGAAGATAAGGTATTTTGGTATATTATTATCATAGAACAAACCTATTCTGACACTAGTGCTGGTGATAAGATTGAGGTATACGAATTCTTGAAGGTTTTGGGATTATTAGATAATGAAGTCTCGCCTATCAACATGGATGATGACGACAATAACGAATCTAACATCGACAAAGAAGATAGTGATGATGATCAGGACAATTATTGAGACCCTAGGAAAATATATACCGGATGGGATTATAAAAGACGTTTTGGTAAAGATGCTTTGAAAAAACTTTATCAAACCTGGGAAGCTCATCATCAGAACATTGTACTCATGGAATTTACCAGACGTCTTCCAGACATATCTAATCGAGAAAAAAATAGATTATTCAACGCATTCTCTAGATCTAATGCATTTGGGGTGAAAGAACATAATGCACTCTTAGATGCGTTAGCCAATCCTGTGAAAGGTTAAGATCTTAATAATTATTGAATGGATAATTCCCTGGCAAATTATGCATGCCTGTGACGCAATTACTTATATCTGTGAATAAAGGAGATCGAACTCCTTAATTTTTTATATTCTATTAGGAATAACAATTTCTGGTTTAAGTTCAGCTATTTCAGTATCAGATACTGAGAGCTTATTTCTAAGATTGGGATCACAGTATTCTCTTTCCTAAGCTCTGCATTCTCAGCCTCAAGTTCAGTGATACGCTGTTTCAATGATTCAAGCTCAGATGATATGATCCCGCCTCTTCAAGGTCTCTATATATAACTAATACAATGTATATAAGCATTTAAAATAAAAAAATATGTGTTTTTGGATTGAGACTCTCAACATGAAATTTTTTATTAATACATGCAACAAAATAAATACAAATGTTGTGAACCTTCGTTCACTGATACATATTATTTTTTGATAATTTTTTCAATTCTAGTCCTCTTGCTAGACGGAGAACTATCAACACTAACATGATCCTTTAGTAACTCAACAATGATGCTGATTATCCTTTTCACATTACATTGAAGTAATTCTGGATTTTCTTTAACAGCGGATTTCGTGAGATTAATTTGGTACTCACTACCGCTTATAGAGTATATACCATCAGGAGTATATATGATAAAATACCACTCTGTATCTGTGGTCACAATACCATATATATAGTCAAAATAGTTATTCTGAAAGCTTGATCTGCAGTTCGTTTCT